TACATTTTAAAAACAGAAAATATAATTTATTAAAAATAGATAATGATGTTAAATGTTCAGTAAATGGTCTAATCAATTCTGAAAAGAACATTGTGTTTACATGTATAAATACCGAATAGTTTCTCTGGTGTGAGAAACTGAAAGTGTAAATAAGGACTAAATGTATAATAGGTAATGTGAAATAGGAAGAAAAGGGGCAAAGGGGAAGAAAGTGGGAGGGCTAGGGGAAAGGATAGAGGGAATGGGATTAATATGAGAAAATGGAAAAATAGGAACAAAATCTTTGTAAATAGGGAGGAATGGAGGGGTTGAAGGGAGGGCTGGGCAAGGGTGAAAAATAAGAACCAAGAGAGACTATGTAAAGGTGTAAATTTCCAATGATGAATGTCATTATATTGTATACCTAAAATGTACCAATGATTAGAACGAATAATCGATAATGTAAAATAGGAAGAAAAGGTCCAAAGGGTTAGGGTTAGTGGGAGGGGCAGGGGAAAGGAAAGAAGGGAAAGGAAAAATGCTGAGAAATGGAAAAAATAGAAATAAAGTCTTTGTAAATAAGAAAGGGTGGATGGGGTGAAGGGAGGGCTAGGAATGGGGAAAAAATAAGAACCAAGATGCATTATGTAAAGGTACAATTCCCAATGAGAAATGTAATTGTGTTGTATACCTATAATGTACCAATAAAAGAATTAAAAAAAAAATTTACAATACAAAAAAAAAGAACATTGTGTTTAAAACATAATAAAGCTTGATTTGTCCTGATGATAAGATTATGGATATATTTGGTTAGATATTAAGATTTGAAAGATATAAGTAATATTATTAGTATTTTTGCTTTTGTGAATGATTAAAGATCAATTGGGTTTGTTTAGTAAGAAATGTCTGATTACAAATCTTGAACATGTAACCTTGCATGAGGTTATTAGAGAGGGCTGAGGATGTAGCTCAGTGGTAGAATGCTTGCCTGGCATGCATGGCCCCTTGGTTTAATCTCCAGCACCAGAAAAAAATTATTTGTGGGCAAAACGGTGATCAGTGTATCTGTTGTACATGATCTAGAGCCTAAGCTTGGTTTTCAACTCACTTTCTAAAGGCACTTGGTAAAACAGACTTCCTATATCCTGTGGTAAAGGCTGCTACCAAGTGCATCCCAGCAGCTGCCCCACATCACTTGCCGGGAGAGAGCAGGAGTAGGTTCCACGTGTACTAGTGGTGGTGCCTAAGCATTCTCGGGTACAGCACTCTCTGGTAGCAAGCACCCTGGGGAATGTCTAATCACGACACTGCAAGCTTTGGATGCCATGAGATGTGGTCCTGAGAAACACTGAGAGCAGCACCCGGGGCAGATTGTGGCACCAAGAAAATAGAATCATCTTTGTAGTCTCATTCCTCCATGGAACTGTGGTGTCCAGTGTCAGGATCCAAGTGAGAGACGTTCAGGGAGCAAGAAAAGTCACAGCAGCAACAGTGGCTGTCAGGTTAGGTACTAGCAATGTTTTTGCTTGAATGTGGAACTCAAATTTAAAATTATTTTGAACTGCATAATTACCAAGGACTCCAGGATGAGCCAAAGGAAGGGAAAAGGCCCCACGAAGATGATACTCTCTATACCTATTGGCAATCTTGATGAAGGGCTTGAGATAATGTGGAGAAATAAAGGAGGTATGATCCACATGGTGAGCAGTTTTTACCAGCGATTTGTAGAAGTTACTCAGCCCTAGCTATTGCAGGTATAAGCTTGATCAAAGTGGCCAAATATAATCACAGGAAGTCGGTCACGAAAGTGTTAGTAATTATGAAAATTGAAACAATCAGTTAAAATACATTCCATTTAGTTTCTTTTTTTTTTGGTACCGGGGATCGAACTCGGGTCCTTGCGCTTCCGCAGCAGGCAGCGAAACCACTGAGCTAAATCCCCAGCCCCCATTTAGTTTCTGGTCATAATTTTGAAGCTTTTTTAAAAAGCTATTGTCGATGTACCTTCAGCCTAAGACTACCAGGACACAGCTGTGGCTGAGCAAGTTTGGTATCTTACTCCTTGCAGAGATGGAGAACACACACCATGGGAAACCACGGGGTATCTCAGTAAGAGGTAGCTTGCCTTGCATCAGATCTCGCATTTCTTTTCAGAAAATTCCTTGCTGCCTCTAAGGAAGCATAACCTCCTTCACTCTCCCAGCCACTCAGTCGGGGAGGAGCAAGTAACACATCCTGGTCCATAGTTTTCCATTCTATTGCTTCTGTCCTTTTTCCTCAAGGAATGATTTGGAGGAATATTTATGCAAATGTATACATGGAGACCATTGAATATGCTTCATTTATCTCACTTTGTAGGTCAGACTGCTTCCTAGGCAGTAGTTGTAGGTTTAGGTAAAGAACTGATGAGGGTAGCTTAGGTTGAAGAGGTGGAAATAAGTTCAGAGTAAGAAGAGAATTTGATTATGTATCAAAGTCCCTAGTATAAGGGTATTGACAAAATCTGAAAGTTTATTTTATACTAGCTTCCAGAGCAAAGGGATATTGGGGACAAAGAGAAGAGAGAGATCAGTCCTTCATGGAAAACTCAGAAAAGCTTGAAAGAAGAGATAGTTAAAGAACGAGCAGGGATTTACTAGCCAAAGATGACCACCCATTTGTCTCATTTTGCCAAATGAGCTGAAATTACCCAAAGGCAACAAACAAAACGATGTCTTAAGAACTAGTCATTATGAGTTTTATCCCCTGTCAGGGCCTGAGAGTCTGCTCCAGGGCAGGCCCGGAGACACTCCTACTTTCCTTCCAAGTAGAGTGAACCACACCAGCTCCCTGTCCGTATACAGGCTTTCCCAAAGGTGGGAATACTGAGCAGGAAGGGTTTCGGAGTCCTGCCAGCCTCTCTCCTCAACAGAATCAACAAGTGTGTTTCCAGTACTTGATGAAGTATAAATAAAAATAAAGAGGAATGAGCCCTCAGGTGGAGAGGGCCGTGTGCCAGGAGCAGGCTTCCAACCCCTGTAGGGAACTAGAGGACTGGGAGCTCTCCTGGACAAGGTATGAGCAAGTCCAAGGCCCTGAGGCTTGAAGAGCAGGCAGGACGGCCCCATTATGGGGTACTCCAAGAACTTATCCTGACACAGTCAGAAATAAGGAAAGACTGGAATGCAAATTGTTCAAGTAAGAAATTTGTGTGATCAAATGAATTATTCAAAAATTAAAGTACCATAGGAAACAATTGTGACAAAGATATAATCATGGAAAACCTGAAGAAGAAGCAGGAAAAGGGAGAATGGGAAGGGAAGAGCACCCTGTGGTACTTTTGCAATGACTGGCCTATCCGAGTCTGCTCCCCTCCCCTCAGCCCTTCCCCTGAAATTCCTGCCCGCCCTGTGTGTGTGGGCAAAGCCTCCACTTCTGAGCATGAACTGCTCTTCCTGCGGGCTCATGATTCCTCTGGAGTCTTCTGCAGAGACTGAGGTTTCTCTACTGAGGGTCTTTGGGTCTCTTTCCTATGGTACTCATTCCCTTCGATTCTCATTTCCCCACTTTTCCAGTCCATGAGACCAAAACGGTGTAATCAGCAACATTTCTACTATTGTATGCAACTACTTCTCTTATACAAACATTGGTGGCTGGGGATGTAGTTGAGTGGTAAAGAGTTTGCCTGGCAGGCAGGAGGCCTGGGCTCAATTCTTAGCACCATGTAAAATAACACAAATACTGAATATAGTGTGCTTCTATTGAGATGACACTTATGCCTTTTTTCTAAAGGTGAAGAGAGAGAAGGTTGTTCTCTTTATCTACAGTGAGAGAAGCAGTGGGCTCAGCCCCTGTTGCTCAGGGAGGCTCCCAGGAGGCTGGTGTTAAAGGTGAGCTCTGCTGTGTGTGTGGGGGGTGGGGGAGGTGGCCCTTATTTGGCAAATGAGCTCCATGTGGTTGCTATGTTTGTTATAGTTCTTTTTTTTTTTTTAACTCGTAAGTAACTAGTAAAGCCTTATCCATGTATTTCAGTTTTCAATGTCAGCTATGTTACAGAGTAGTAGGAAAGTGTTTTGTTCCCAAATTACAGCCCAAGTGGGACAGCAGCATATGTTGTCATGCAGGAATGTCATGCAGTAATCATCCGGAAGTCAGAAGAGTAGAGGAAATCTCCAAAGGCAAGGGCCAGGATTTTATGATCTCACTGCTTCTCCCCACTTGAAATCTCTCTTTGGAGCCCATTCTTGGCGATCTGGGTTTATTTATGGAAAGCAACAATTACATTCTGCCTTCATGTAGACCAGGGCCTGGGATGGACAGGCAGGATGTCTTAGGTCCCTGGATAGAGAGTGTTTGAACAAGCCTCAAATGGAAAGGCAAGAACTGCACACCCATTTCTCATCATGATTTTCTCCCTTGCATGTCCGTAACATGATTGGAAATATTCTCAGTAACTAGAAGAGAAAAGCCTTTTTTTTTTTTTTTTGGTGCCAGAGATTGAACTCAGATCCTTCCACTTGCGCAGCAGGAGGCGAAACCACTGAGCCAAATCCCTGCCCCATGAAGTAACTATCTTACACATACAGTTGGAGCTCTCTTTCTCACAGTCTCTCAGAAGTGACAAATGTGTAGGTTCTGTTTTCTTCTTTCCCTTCTCTCCACCCAGCCCCCATCCTTCTGGTCTCCCTGAAACCTACCCACCCTGAGGTGTGTGTGTGTGCGTGTGTGTGTGTGTGTGTGTGTGTGTGTGTGTGCCTTCTTCTGTCTGCTGTCTCCTCTCATTTTTTTTTTGGTACTGGGGATCAAACTCAGGTCCTTGTGCTTGAAAGGCAAGCAGTGGAACCACTCAGCTAAATCCCTGGCCCCTCCCTTTCATTTTTTTATCTCAATCTTTCATATATACTCAACTTTTTACCCTCTTTTCAGAAATATACTAACTTTCAATTTAGTAGAATAATCAGACTTGACTTCCAAATTTCTGAAGATTTCTTTAGAGTAGGTCTCCTTTGAAATCGTCTCTGATTACCAAATTTCCACATTTGTCTCAACTGAAGTCAGCTTTATTTAAGAGTTAGAAGCTATGGAACCCACAGTTCTCGTGACCTTCAACTTTTGGATGTTTCTGCTCCAGCGTTGCCACAGAGAGGAAAGGACAGAGGCTGTCCCTGGATCTCAGCCACCCTCGGACAGGTGCTTCCCTCCCTGCTGGGACTTCCGTGTATCGCTTCTTGCTGTGGTTCTTATTACTGATACTTCACCTCTTCTTCTAAATGTCTTGTAGATTGCCTGAAGTTACTTCCTCTCCATGATCCGAAGCTGAAGAGATTTCTAAATTCCGCTTTTTCTTTCTTGGCAGTTCTTTATATATTCTCACACAAAGAACGGTGTCCACCAAAAATATTATGCCCATTGGCAGATAGAAAGGGATGTGAAACCAGATGGAAATCGGTGAGCTGGGGCCTGAAACAGAAAAAGACAAAGAGAAGAGACACCATTTAGGCTCCAGAGGGATCTGGCTGAGTTTTCTTTGGAATGAGATTGACTGAGGCCTGGGGCACTGGCAAATTCAGGGTCGGGGGAACTGGAGGGAGCTCCAGCTGGGCTCTATGGTGTCCACATGAGGACAGACTCCTTGGAAGAGCTTAACTGCTGGGGACCCATCAGTGGAATTACTCTTTCATTTCAGAGACAACTGCTATCTCTATGCTATTTGATGCTTTGGTTGAAGATTAACTTTATTTTGTCTTTCCTCCTGAGTCTTTCCTCCTGAGCTCACCATCTCTCAATGAAATTGAATTCCCTCAGTTAAATAGGCACTTGGGCAGCTGCTTAATTGCCATCTACAAAATTGCTCTCTTGTAAATCCACCACATGAGTCAAAAACTGCACCCCAGTATCTATATCCCCAGACCCATGAGCAGTAGACAGGAGAAGCTCAATATATTCTGGTGAGGGATGGAGGGGTGGGAAGCTTGGAGGGGTGGGAAGCCAACAGCAAGGTGGTACAAGAGTGGTAGGAAGGGAGAACAGAAAATGAAGAAGGAGAAGAAAAGAAAGATGAATGAGATGGAGGGAAGAAAAATAAAAGGCAGGAAAGGAAACTTAATGAAGTTTGTGAGGAGCAGATTGAAGTTCTGAACCAGTGGTGGAAAGGCCCATCCACTGGCTTTTCCTAAAGAGATTTCCTCCACCTGGCTGGGCCGTGAAACCCTTGAACAAGCCTCAGCTCCGCAACAGAAAAGGGGCCCTTTCTCCTTTGCCAGTCGCTTCCAATCCTTCTCACTCACCACCCACTTGAAGCTCCAACACCAGGCTGCGCTTCAGGATATTTCCGTCTTCTGTGGCTGCCTCACACCAGTATGACCCAGAATCTTCTTTTCTAGCAGTTAGAATCTGGTACTCAGAGGATGCGTTCCTGCCCCTCAGTGTCTTGTTGCCCATGTAGAAGGAGAAGTAAAGTTGCAAACCAGGCCGCAGTGGGTGCAACTTTGTTTCACAGTTCAGGTTGACCAGATTTCCCTCCCGGAGGTGGCGGGATGACAAGGATGAGCTCAGCACTGGAGCTGGAAAGAGCTCTAAAGAGAGAGAGTTGACAGGGCTGGGGATTTAGCTCAGTGGTGCTGCCACCTGCCTCACAAGTGCAAGGTCCAGAGTTTAATCCCCGTATAACAAAAAAAAAAAGAGAGAAGAGAGAGAGTTGATAGGGGTCAGGGTTGTCTGCTTCAGTAACAAGCTTCTTTTCACAAGAGACATACCCTCTCCCACCTTGGAAACCTGCCTCCAACATTGTGCCCATAGGCATAATTTTTCCTACTTACAACTGAGTCACTGTTGGGGTTTCCTAACAGACACAATCAGGGCCACCAGCCTGCTTGCATCTGTTGAGAATTTCTTTAAGTGGCCCAGGGCTCCCTGAGTGGCTGTGTTATTACAGAGCCACTATATGATGTACCCAGAGTAGGCACTAACTCATATCCTTGCCAGTTCAGTGACTCCTTACTTGTGTTCCTCACTTCTGAGACAGTAATTTCTTTCCTACAGGAATGAACCCTTTTTTTTTTTTCAGACAGAAAGATGTCTTTGGTGATTGTGAGTGCTAGGAGGAAAGGGCATGAAATTGTCCAAGCAAGAGCCATATGCAAACTGGAAAGGGGAAGCTGCTTAGTTTGCAGATATTTAGAGAGAAGTAGGACCAGAAAAGCCACATTGTCCTTGAGAGACAGATGAAAAGTATAACCAAAAGGAGTCTCTGTTCTTTGCAACTAAAATCAAATTGGTGAAATGGATCTTCATTGCGTCCTGACTTTGAGTTTAGCTCCTGCAAATTTTTTTTTTTTTTTTTTTGGTACTGGGGATTGAACTCGGGTCCTTGCGCTTGCAAGGCAGGCAGCGGAACCACTGAGCTAAATCCCCAGCCCCCAGCTCCTGCAATTATTGATAGTGCATGGTGGTGTAGTGGAAAGAACAATAGAGAGGGACCCATTCACTAAACTAGTTTATCTCTCTGGAGCTGTTTCTTCACTTACAAATTGAAACAAGGATTTAAATGATTTACACTGGTCCTTCTGGCCTTGTAACTATAGCTCTACAGCTATTTAGGTACAATACCTTCCACGGTCACAGCTGTTCGTGCTGATGTGTACCGTTGTGTCCGTCCCATGCCTGAGCAGTGATAGAGGCCACTGTGATTCGTGTTGGTTTTCAGAATAGTGAGTTCAGAATTCCAACGAGAAAACTTAATGAATTTTTCATTTCGATAGAAAAGTATTTTGTATACCAGCTTATTCTTCCATCCATGACACCTCAAGGTCAAAGGTTCTCCTTCAGTGAGGACTTTGCTAGAGGATTGAAGTAGCAGCCAATCTGAAAAATGTAGACCCAAAATGCATGCAACAGTTGTGTCCCTAGTTGACAACCAGCAGGAAAGTGGGGACATGAGTTCTATAATGACAAGGAAGTGAACTCTCCCAATGACCTCAGAAGAGGGCCAAAAACGAGCACAGTCTGTCAACACCCTGACTGGAGCTTTTGTTGGACACTAAGTGAAGTGTATAGCTAAGAGTGTGGGGACTCCCAACCCGTGGAAACCGGGACATAATAAATGCATGTTGTTTTAAGCTGTTCAATCTCTGGTAATTTGTTACACTGAAATAAAAAGCCAAATGTACTCCTAACTTCTGAAAACTTTGTCAATAGGACTACATATCTTAAGACAAACCTACAAAATGGCAAGGATACCAAGATGTCTATCCCCTACAAAGCTGGTAGAAATACACACAATATCATCAGCAAAAACAAGTGGGAGGTCAAATGCCCTCCCTTTCAACGTATACCTCTGCACATAACCCAAAAAATCTCCTTTAGTTTTCTTTCCCTGGGACTATTAGTTTAGCTAAATTAAGATTAAGCTTTGGGGGAGCTGGAGAGGAGAAGGGACAATAGGGCTTTTCACCGCCCAGAACATATCTAAGAATGAAAGGCAGGTGTCTAGTGGCGCATGTAGGGTAATTTTTATAGTCTTCAATACTACCATAGTGCTTCTGAATATGGTTAGGACTCTTCTTGTCTTTGTTCCTGCCCCAACCACAGACTGTTCAATGGCTGCACTGTCCAGACATCCAGATATCTTTGCTATATAACCAAAACATAGTGGGAGATTTTAACATCCCTCCACCAGAACTGTCAAAACTCTAGTAATGATAGAAAATATTTGAATGACACAATTAATAGATTTGATTTTGTGGAATCCTGTACCTTAGAGAAATCTCATATACTTTCTAAATACACATAAAACAGTTTTTAAAATTGAGCATGTACTAGGCCACAAAGCAATTTTCAACAAATACTGTACTAAGGAAACAGTACTATATTTAACATAAAATCTGACCAAAATATCATACAGTTAGAAATCAGCAACAAAAAGTCACTTTCCAAGAACATCTGAATAATTCCTAACAACAACAAAAAATCATGATTGAAAAATTTTAAATTTTAAATTTAAGTGATGAGAGTATTTAATATCAAAACTTGTGGGATCTAGGTTTAGGAGAAATAGCCTACTAATTTCCTACTCAAAAACCTTTGCCCTACCCTCATGACACTGGGGTAGGAAGGAGTTACTCATTCTAAGTGACACGATAAGGACTTGGGCCACCAGCCAGCTGTATTTTCTTGGCCTCAGCATCCATAGATTCAACTGAAGTGATTGAACATCAATGTCATTGCAACTGAATCTTCCACTGTTGAATAACTGTGGTAAAACTTTTTTTTTCCGGTTCAGGGGATTGTACCCAGGAAGGGCGGAGCCTCAGCATTCTTTGTTATTGTCTTGGGGGTTTTTGGAGATAGAGACATGCTAATTTGTCAGGCTGGCTCTGAACTCGCAGTCTCCTGCCCCACCCTGCTGAGTATGCTGGGATGTTACAGGTGTGCACCATCACGCAAGACTACAACATTTTTCCCCCATTAAGTTTATTGGTACATTTTAGGTATAAAATACAGTTACGTACATCATTGGGATCTTGTACCATTACATGAGTCTCTTAGTTCTTATTTTTTTTCCCCCTTCCCCTGCCCTCCCTTCACCCCCTCCACCCTTCCCTGTTTGCAAAGACTTTGTTTCCATTTTTTTCCTCTTCTCATATTTTT